AAAAAAAAAAAAAAGAAGAAAGAAAAGAGAAAAAAATAAAAAAAAAAAAAGGAAAAAAAAACTCACGTCAAACTGTTGCAAAAAGTGGAAGCGAATCGTTTCCAGTTTACATGCTCGAAACTGCCCCCTAATCCTGTCTGGAATCAGATCTGGCAACGAGCCAGGAAACCAAAAAGGAGAAAATGGCGGAAAGAAAAATAAAAGGAGAGGATCAAAGTAGAATTAAACGCGGGGAAAGGATTCGCGGGGATGGAAACGGGAACGCGTTAACTTTTTTTTTGATCCATCCGTGGCTGATCCACGGTGACGGATTAATATTCACGATTTCACGGTCCCTAACGACATTGAAATCGCGTGCAACCCATCGATTAATCGATACGAAGCGAGGAGAAGTCCCGTTGACCGATTCCTTTCCTTCGGTGCAGGGCCTCAAACGCGGAACACGATGAATATTTCACGGATCGATCGATTTCTCCACCACCGTTCTCTCTCTCTCTCTTTCTCTCGCGAGGAGCACGAGGACGGCGGTAGAAAGCAGTCTGCTACTAAATATACAATAAGCTCGAGAAACCTAGGAAGGAGAAAGAGAGAGAGAGAGGAGAGAAAAAAAAAGTCCTGCTCGATGCACGACTCCATCGACCGTAACTGCGAATGTCGAACGATCGAAATATCCTCGTTTCACTCCCTCTCCCTTCCGCGATGCCACCCCTCTTCGCTATTTCGATGGAAGGTACGAGATATATTTTTAAGATATTTAATTTCTTTTTTTTGTTTTTTTTAGGAAAATTTACGTAGAAAATTTTTGTTTTTTTTTTCAAGCCATTCATAATCTTCGGATTAATTTTGGTAATAATGTTTTTTATATCTGTTATCTATCTATTTTTCATGTGATAAAAAAAAGTATTAAATAGTAAGTTTATTTTAGTAAGTTTACTTTATCGTTGATGGGTTTCGCGATGCGAAATTAGAGGGAGGAAAAGTAGGGTTTTATTATAGTGTAATCGAGGGATAAAAATAAAGAGAGGGGGAAACTTTCTAAATTTTCTACAGAGCACGAGAGAAATAAATAAATCCGTTGGTTTTTATCTATAATTGGATAATTGAATAATATAGAAAATAGCGGGTTCGTTTCATTATCTATTTCGTTTGATGTTTAAAAATTAACTATTGCGTCCTCTATCGTGAAATCTTCCCTATTACGCGTCAAAACGGTGAAACACAATCATACGTCACAATAAAAAATAATTAGCGGTCGGATAAATTTGTCAGAGACAAATGAAATTGAACGTTAAGAATGCAAATTTTAGATATTTCCTTAGCATTGTCTTATCATATTTACACGACCACTCCCTTCTTCGATTGTTAGACGGACAAAAAAAAAAAAAGAGAAGAAAACGAGTAAGTAACAAAAGACCATTTTAACTTCGAACACGTTGAATCATCATAAGTCGTCTCATAAATTATGTGTCATCATTCGTATGCAATCCAGAAGAAACAATTAATAGATCTTTTCGTTATTTGGAATAATCAATAACTTTCAAATTTCTAAACAATGCAATTTTTTCTAACCCTAATTTATTCTTTACACTCAATATTTTATGCTCGGTTTAGAAACAGTGAATTATCTATTTATTCAATGCGAACAATTCGTAACAAAATAAATTTCCATTTGTATCGTACATCGTAGCAACTTTCCGTTTAAATAATCCCTATTTAAATAAAAATATCGTGTAATTCTAAATAAGAAAAATAAAAAGAGAGAAAAAAAAAAATTAAACATTATTTCCACGCTTAATGCAATATTTTCAAGGAAGAAGCGAAAGACACGTTAAACGTTAACGATAAAATATTTCTATTAAAAGAAGAATATTTTAATGAAAAGAAGAAACTTTACAATGACTTTTATGTCTTTACTAAAAATGATGAGGATAAATTGTAAAACAATGACGATACCTTTACACTCCCATCGATCGACAATATCACACAGGAACGAATTTAAAAACGCGATAATGATAATAATATCGCGAAATATCACGTATACCTTCTTCCTTTTCATCTCGACCCCATTGCGATCGAACCGAAACTACGATCGAGACTACGTTACGCTTAAACACCCACGGTACACGTTATTCAACCTTATCTAAACTAATAGGAAAACAAAAGTAAGCTGCTCGAATACTGGTTCTCGTATCACCCGTACGCTCATGAGAATATACGCGAGGTCATCGCCGCATTGTGACGGCCGAAACGCGATCCTAGCTTTGTTTCGCGTGTTTTCGCGCACGATTCACGATTTTTTTTTTTCCTTTTCTTTTCTTTTCTTTCTTTCCTTTTTTTTCGGAATACGACCGAAAACGTGGAAAGAAATATTATCGTTTGTCAGGATGCGCCGTGAAAAAGCGCATCGCGCTTATCCTGCGCAGAATGTTTCCACAACTGTCGACTCGATATGACGACAAAAATGGTTTCGTAGCAATCGTGAGAATAGAGGAAAGATGAAATATCGTTGTGACTTTGTTTTCTTTTTTTTTTTTTTTTTTTTTTTGAAAATTTTGAGATTGTAAACGATAAATTGTTGTAAAGAAAAAAAAATCAATTGTTAATCAATTTAGAACTTTGTTGCATAGTAATTAATTATTCGATGAAAGATTATTTAGAAGATTTTTTTTTTCATCGGTAGTTCATTGTTCGTTCTTAAAATGAATTTCTTCGCGAATTGAAGTACGCANNNAACCATTTTTTTTTTTTTTTGCGATTCTTGGTAATTATAAATTTTTTTTTTTTTTTTTTAAGATCAATTCATTTAACTTCTAAGTAATTTGTTGCATTGAATATTCAAAGACGCGATATTGTAATTTGTTCGTCGAGTTTGCAAACCTGTTCTCGGATTGCACAATCGCTGCGTGAGAATTGTGCAATATTTGCAATTCAGTCTCACCCTTTTTTTCTTTTTCTCTTCTTTTTTTTTTCAAATTAGGCACGAGTGAAAAAACAAGCGAATAATATCGATGCAAGCCCGATCAAACAATAAAACACATAATGATTTACGATTATTTAAACATCGCTAAAATTTGAAATGAGAATCAAGATTTGCAATTCAACGCGAATGTATTATGGAAACCTCGTTCTCCATAATATTATCCACTCTCTGTAAAAAAAGTGTTAATAACTACTAAGAGTATAAAATAAGAATATTCTAATTACATATTGTAAATTGAAAAAAGGAAAAATAAAAAAAAAAACGAAGAGAGAGAGAAAAAAAAAAAAAAAAGAAAAACATCAAAGATCTACGTAATTATTAATGTTTCTGCTTCTCATACCTCGATGGATTCTTCACCACGTCGATCCACAGAAATCGCACGGAATACATCCTGTTTACGGAATAAAGTTGCGTTTTGCACCTCGAACAGGTGTGTGTGTTCTCTCTTTCTCTCTTTCTCTCTCTCTCTCTTTCTCTCTGCGCGCAACGTCAACGTCAGCGTTCGGTCTTCCGTTTCCGTTTCTTCGCGAACCATTTAGAGAAATTTTCGTTTTACATGCCCGTAATTGGACAGAAACGCGTTTCCTCCTCGAAAACAAAAGGTCATTTCCAATTCTTCCATTCTTTTCTTCTTCTTATTGCACGATCTTCGAACCTATTACCACACACACACACACTCGACCTCGAAGATCGAAAGAGATTCACGAAAGAAATTCGAACGACGACGTTCTTCCTCGCGAAGAAGAAGAAGAAGAAGAAAAAAAAAACACGCTCTCTTTAAACTCCATTTCCTTTCGAACAAACCTGATGGTTTAAAAATTTCGAATTCGAACGATCGATATCGATCGATTTTTCGATCATCGCTTCTCTCATCATCTTGGTTTTGAAGCAAAAGGAAATATCGCGTACGCGTAAAGGAAATAAATAAACAGGGGATGGGGATAGGATAAAGAAGGGAAGGAGGGGAAAATCGAGTGAACCGTGATCGATATCAAGATTCAAAAAAAAAAAAGAAAAAAAAAAAAAAAAGAAATCAGGCTAAGAAGAATAAGGGAAACGCATTATCGTGATTTATAATAGTTATTGCACTGATTCGCTGGCCTACCGCATCGTCGTTAGATTATATTATACACGCGCCGACTTGGCTATCTCCGATGCGTTTGGCGCGGCCGACACGCGCTCTCGATATCGCGTTATATACGTCGATGCGCGTGATAGGGATTGGGTAAGAGGTCTGTGAACACGCGTAATACATCGAAGCAGGCTACGCGGGAACGCTCCGCGACGACAGGCCGTTCGCCAATGAGATACGCGATAATCTGTTCTCGTTAACGCGATGTAATTAACTGGAGCCTCGGTCTCGGATGAAACGGAACGAGGTTGAAAGCTGGAAAGATATTTAACAGTATCGATATATATATATAGCTAGACTCCACGTACGTAAGGAGTATCCTGCGAGAGTCGAAGATCGAACGAAGTTTTAGAAACTTAATAATCGAAGAGAAAACTTTGGAATAATATATCTAGGGGAGAAGGAACGAAGATTTGAGGAATTAAATCATCTGTTTAAAGAGAAGCTGATTCAGAAGATATGTTCGTCCGAATTTTAAATTAGGGAAAGGATAAAATCTTGAAAGAAGAATCAATCAAGAAGAAAAAATTTTAGAAATGCCTACGGGAGAAAGAACGAAGAGTTTTTAAGATTATTTAGTCCAGATTTAAATTAGATATTTTAAAGGATACATCCTTTAAGAATACAATTCGAGAAAATTGTTAAAGCCGTAAATGAAACGAAGGTACACGTTACAAGGACATTGCACATCCATTAATTCTCCTCGACGAATGGATAAACTCGATCCCGGCCGAAGGAAAGCCTTTAACATATCAATTAATATGGGATTAAGCCGGGAGAAAATCACTTCTCGAATACCTTGAAAGCGTTTTACCGTAAGAAAGAAACGAAAAGTTTTTCTGGATAATTTGGATCTGCGCGTATATACGGGCGTAATATCACCGATAACTTTCCTCGACGAGTTACGGCGAGCGAATGTACGCAGAATGTAAACAGAAGCGCGAAATCCAACGAGCCGAGGTCGTCCGTAATGAACCGCCGCGTACGGAATAACAGAGCCGAGGAACGAAATACAAATATACAAAATACGGACGCGCGCCACAAAGGGAATGAGAAAACAATTCGGGAAGGTTACGACGCACCGAAGATTCCGACACGCTCGAGTAAACTCGAGTCCGGCAGCCGAGTTGCTTCTTCGAGAAAAATTTCTTCGAAGATCGCTATATCTATACGTCGACGTGTGTTTTGAACCACGAGAGAACGTCCACGACGAGCGCACTCAACAATCCTCTGTTCAAGAACGTGGACGTTTCTTGTCGCTAAACCCTCCCACGAATCCCGTACACCCTACCCTCGTCGTCAGTCCTAACCCAACCCCCCTCCCCGAGCCCCCTTGTGTTGCCCTTTTTCTCGCGCGTGTTATGTGTATATGTGAATGTGTATATGTGTGTGTGCGCGCGCGTGCGCGTATGTGTATTTTTTTTTTTCTTTTTTTCTTCGTAAATCGTTTTATCGTCGGCGCGCGCGAATCCCAACACCCCTCCCCTTGTCAACTGTATAAAATATTCTCAATCGTATCAACAACAGTCACATCGTACATCGTACAACGTTATTACATTATTACAATAGTTTATAGTTAATCGTAATCAATATAATATTCACAGCATTTTATGAAAATCTCTTAAAAGCACCAACCGTGGCGGCTCAAATTTTTTTTTTTCTTTCTCTCTTCTCTTCCATTCGTCCTCTTTCTTTCTTTCTTTCTTTCTTTCTTTCTTGCTTGCTTGCTTCCTTTCTTCCTTTCTTTTTCTTTCTTTCTTTCTCTCTTTTTCTCTTCCTTTCTCTCTCACTCTATCATTTCAACATCCGTTTTTTTTTTTTTTTTAATTTTCTTTTTATCTCTCGTTTAATTTGTATCTCGATTTAAAAATCTCCATCTTCCATCTTCATCGTCCTCTTCTTTAATCGTGTTCTTCTTATTCTTCTCTTCTTTGTCTCCCTTTCTCTCTCATCCTCACACTCTTTCTCCCTTTCTCTCTAATTCTCTCTCTCTCCCTCTCTCTCTCTCTCTTTCTCTCTTTCTCTCTCTCTCTTTCTCTCTCACTTTCTTCCTCTCGCTCTTCCTCTCACTCACATATATATATATATACCTTTAATAATTTATCGATATATATATAATATATATATATGTATATATAAGCTAAACGTTTCGTCTTAAAGCACTGATTAAACGAGGGAGCTCGTTTTAACGTGTCCCTCCCTCTGAACACGCGTTTACCAACCATCCTAACCAAAATCACAGGACTAACTAGAAACACCGCCGGCTTTTTGCCTCGTCGCTCAGTGGGGATCGATGAACGGGAGGTGTACACCCTCCGTGGAGACGAACGAAAAGACAGGAGGAGAGAGCAGGAACGATAGCAGGGAGAGATAACGGGCACGGGGACCACGCGTGGGCAACGGAGGAGGCGCACGAACGTTTCTCGGCCGTTTAACGAGACGAGCAGTGGTGGGAGGTCGAACGACGGAACCTGGTGTGTCGAGAGAAGGACACGATGACACACGATAACCAGGAGAAGAAACGATAGTAGTAGTGGTAATAGTACTAGTAGTAATAATAGTAATAGTAGTAATAGTAATAGTAGTAGTAGTAGTAATAGCGGGGATAAATAAGGAAAGAAATGCGAGAAACAACGAGCGAATGAGAATGAGGCACCACTAGTAGTAGAACTGCTCGTGTCCGTGTTTCCCTTTCCCACGTCCGACCGCATCATCCCCCGTGTCATCACTCGGACAATCACGTCTATTATCCGACGGATCCTTGGACAAGCGATCGTGATCCGTTCCCTATCCGGAGAATCCTTCTCCCGCGCGTTGATCGCGGTTACGCTGGTGGTAGCGATCGATGCGTAGCGAACGGCGTTGATGATCGCGTGCTCGGAACGGAGCGTAGGAAAGTGGGAAGGAAGAAGGGGTGAAGGAAGGTGTATCGATCGGCGATTGTTCCTCCGGCGGTGGTGAACGTGGCGGTTGTTGCACGGTCTAAGGCGAACTCAATGATGCGGCGGTGGCGGCGGCGGGGCCTCTTCCTCGGAAGGATCCACGGGGCTCGGGGACAGGAACTTGCGCACATACTTCGGATAATGTGTCTTTTCGTGGGCCTTGAGTATGGTCGACCTCGAGAAGGTCTTGCCGCACAGCGTACACCGGAACGGCCGTTCCCCGGTGTGCACCCGACAATGGTCCTTCATGTGGTGGCGCAACTTGAAGGCCTTGCCACAGAACTCGCACTTGAACGGCCTGTCACCTGTATGCGCCGGTAGGTGGGCTATCAGGGAGCCAACGTCCGGGAACGACTTGCCGCAGAACTTGCAGAGGACGACGCCGGAGGTCGGGTCCGAGTGGGCCGCGAGCTCGAGATCCATCGGCTCGATCGTACCTGCGGTGGGGTAGTGGGCCTCCGGCGGCAGGTGCATACCGGGTTCGAGGCCCAGCTGAGCCTGCAGCTGCAGGTGGGCCGCCTGCTCACGGTACTTGAGCGACTCGAGGCTGTGCGAGAGGATGTGCCGCGCCAGCTTGCTCTGGTGGAGGAACGAGGCACCGCAGTACATGCACGCAAACATCCGCTCATCCACACCCATCAACTCCTGCAACCAAACAAACAAGAACATCAACTTCTTGTCTTCCCCTTTAGCTCGTCCGTAACACCCCCATAAGTAATAATTGCTTCTCCCTTCCACTTTCGCTTTCTTCCTCCTCTCTCTCTCTCTCTCTCTCTCTCCCTCTCTTTCACGCACAATTTCTCTCTCTTTTTCAGCCTTTATCTCTCTCTCTCTCTCTCTCTTGTTTTCTCTTTTTCATCCATCTATCTAATTTCACTAAGTTATCTAATTTATCTATCTATGTTTATCTATCTATTTATCTATTCATCTATTTTATATTTGGCAAAAGTTTCCCGTCTCGTTTGCTTTGAAGTGATCGTTTCAAGCGGAAAACAGATTTCTCTCCGTCTTTCTCTTTCTCCGTCATCACTTGTGACGCATCGCGTGGATGCTATATGCACGTTCCCGCTACTTCGTCGCGACAAATCGCTCGTTTCGACGCTACTCGACTTGCAACGTGTACACAGATGCGTGTATATTATATATGCATGTACGACGCGCAATCGCTGAAGATTCGCGTTTCTCGTTCGAAATACCGTGTCTTTCTCTCGCTCTCTCTCTTTTTCTTTTATTTCTTTTCTACTCTCTTGTTCTCTTTCTCTCATTCTTTCTTTCTTTCTTTCTTTCTTTCTTTCT